ATTTTGATATTTTGTTCTTTTTGCCACTTCTGCCTTCAGTTATATATTTTTAATTGGAACTTATATATTTTGATAAGGAATTTATAATAATTTGCTCTGCTGCATAAAATTTTATCATGCACTCGTAATCTATTTCTGTATCTAGCATCCTTATGGCTTAATTAGCATTCAAGATGTCACATTTTATTTATTTATTCTCATACGACCACACACTTTATTTCTCGTATGAAATGAATAAACAGTTATGATAATAGTAAGAAAAATAATACTAATTCTCTTATCCATATGAGTAGGGATGTGATATTGAAAGATTTGCATTGATTACTTTTTATCTATTGAGCTACACTGTGTCAAAAATTCAATAGTTTAAAATTTTCAAACTTATTAATAAATTGTGAAATTATCTATCACTATTATAGAAAAACTTTACTCACAAAACAACATTTTATATGATTTATTGAGCCAATTTAGAAGATCTAATAGTAACACATATTGTTGCTCAAATTACATTTGTCACATATAATTATTAAATCTTGGTCAAATAGATCATGCATTAGATAAAAGAAAAGTAAATTAGTCTACTTATTTTTAATTTACTATTAGATTTTTTACAATGAAGAAAGGCAAGAAAGAATGTCAAGAAAATACAAGATAAGTTTTGGACAGAGTGAGTCAGCTTCCATTATTTTTTGGAGGGAAAAAAAGACATAATATTAGCTTTGATTAAAAGCTATGCAAGTATCAAGAAATTAAAATATATAAGAGATACAAATTGGAGATTGCTATTGGCACTCCTCTAAATGCTGTTAACACTCGCAAACTCCCCTCTATGGGAGGTGGAAATAGCAAATATAGATTAGAAGGAGATGACAGAAGATGAATATTGAAATAAAAAGGGTAAAGATAGGTGATCCGACAGCCCGGATAACCCACAATATGAGTGTTGAACTTGATGGGTCACGTGGAATAAAAAGTAAGCTGACACACCACACATGCCATTGCTACCCATCTGCACGTCCTCTGTCTTCTCCAGAAAACCACTCCACCCTTCATTTTATCCATTTCCTTTTTCTTCTTTTTTATCTATTATATTTCAAATCACATATAAAATCCAGTTTAAAAGCTAAACTTGATTAACTCTGTTGTTGTATAAAACCCAGTTTAAAAGTTAAAAGAACAAAAAGAAAAGAAAAAGAAAAAGATGGGTTATGTTATGTGTTGGATTGGGATTGAGTGAGTGGTGCGGATGAAGAAGCCATGAGGGTGCAGGGAAGGTGGCGGTGGCAAGTGATGAGGTGGTCATTGGTGAGACCGGCGACTTGCATGAAGGAATGGACGACGGTGGGACCCACTAAGCGGAAACCTCGTCTTAGCATGTCTTTGCTTATGGTTTCAGACTTGGATGTTTTGACTGGAATCTTGTTTCCTAATTTGTAATTTTTTGAAATTGGTTTCCCGTTTACAAATCCCCATATGTATTTCTCAAGAGATCCAAATTCCTTTTTGATCTCCAGAATTTTACATGCGTTGTCAACAACACCACGGACTTGGCTCATATCAATACCGCACTCACGACTAATTGCACTCATTTCTTTATCATTTAACTTGGCAACCATTTCTGGGTCGAATCTTGAAAATGCATTTCTGAGAACATAAATAAATATATACTTTATTAATTATTAGTTATAATTCATTATAAATTATAATGAAAACCCACCTGAAATTTTGTCGTTTTTTCAAGATTGAGGTCCAATCTGAGCCGACCTGAGCACCACTCAGAACTAGCAGTTCAAATAACATTTTGTCATCATGAACCGGGACTCCCCATTCTTCATCATGGTAAGTCACGTAGATGGGATCTGAAGTACATATGTACACATATATATATAACATTATAATTTGCATGCATGGTAATTAAAATACTAAAGAATGAGAAATTGGGAGATGACCTGAATTATTGGTGATAAAAGTACATCTCTTGTGTTGAGGTTGATGATGAGTAGTAGTGTTGGTGATGGTGGTGGTAGTAGTAGATTCAAACTTAGCGGATTTGGATCTTCCATAATGAGCAATCTTCATTTTTCTCTGGGCTTGTTGGAGAGCCATTTGTTGTCTTCTGATGGCAGCTATGGTGCCTGGAACTGGATCTTCACATGAATAATAATTTGTAGAACTCATCACTACACCTTCGTTGAAACTTTTTGATCTGATTCGTTCTAAGCTTTTGCTAATTGAAGTGGGTCTGCCATCATCGCACATTTTCGTCATCGAATTGTAACTCCGATGAACCACCGTCCCTGTTGCAATCATGTCTACGCCTGTGCTCACCTCTGCCATCCACCTCCACTTTACTTCTTTCTTTCTTTTATGACCTATATATTGCTATATGGACTAACATAGTGGGAGATGATGAGAATTCAAGTCATACAAATATATATATATATATATAGAGCGAGAGAGAGAGAGAGAGAAGAGGGAGATGAGAAAGGAAGAACATGGGGGGTTGTGAGGTGCATCACTTTTTCATGACTAAATCACATGGCATTCTTTATTTAATTAATTTTAGTTAGTATACGGATATATCCTGGAAAAAGAGCAACTATTATTCCATATGTATATTTATATATATTATTGCATCGACGAAGTTGACACATGTAGAGGGCCGTGGGGGATTATATATGTTGAACGCCTCTCTGATCCCCGGAATTCAGCTCATCATCTGTACAAGGAACCTAACATGTACGCTATCATCCACCAATCATTCATCTGACATATATCTTTTTAGCTGGAAGGAATCTCTCTCTCTCTCTCTCTCTCTCTTTCTCTCTTCTCTCTCTCCCCTTTTTGTTATATCTTCATACAAACTCGGAACTGTTTAAAGCTAAACCAGAATTAAATTTACAAGAATTTTTTTAAAGCTTAAGGGCATTTTCCAGAGTTTAATGACTAACTAAAATATAATTTTCTTTTTTAATAATAGATAGATTAATAACATATATCCTAGATAATAAAATTTTATTTGGGGCTAACTTTTTTTAGTGGAGGTCAACATTTATTTATAGTGATCATCTATCATCTTGTTAAGGACAAATTAGCATACTAACATTAAGGCCCCACTACAATAAAAACACAAGTTAGTGATGGCCTATATGATAGTTTTAGAAATACAAAAAGAAAAGCTAGCGACGAGTATAGAGACAAAACACAAATTGTCTCTAAATCAGTTGTAGTAAAATTATTTGAAATGGTTTGAAAAAATTTAATAATGGCTAATGGCTCATATGCAAGAACAAGATAAGTGATCGAGCTAGCAACACCCTATGAATTCTTAACCAAACAATGAGTTTAGAGATGCTTTTAGCTACAGGCAATTTTTATTAAAAATGGTCACCTTTAGTAACAAAAACATGACTTATATAAAGAAAACTTTTACAAGAAGAAAAGGTGTTAAGAGTGACAAAGAGAGGCAAAAAAGATAAAGAAGAACTTTTGCATAAGG